GAGCGTAATCGCTCGTAATAAAGGATAACTCTTGATAAGTTTTGCTTAATAAAACTTGAGTTCTTTATTGAAATAATAATTGAATCCTAATACATAAAACCCCGAACCAATAACACATTCGCTAAATTAACCCCTCTAACCCCGATCCATCGATAAATTGACATACAGTACGTTTACTGTTGTCTTGTCCACGTGATACCTTCCCTGAAAATTGTCCGGTTAACCTTGACGTACTAAGATTAACCGTGGTTTTTCTGTCCAACTAACCCGACGTACTGAGGTTGGTTGTGGTTATATTTTTTAGTTGGTTCCAGTTACCCAACGAACTGTGGTAACTGTGGTTTCATATATCCGAATACCCGACGAACTGTGGTATTCAAGCTTTCAAGTTAAAACCTCCAAACAATCACTTACCCACGAGCCCTAACTACCGTCCAAATCTAAACGCCCTCTTTCGATAAGCCATTCGTGGGTTGTGTAGAGTTTTTCATAGCCGAGCGACTGACTCGCCGTAGAAACCCATCGTTTCAATAGATCCCTCTTTTCTATTGAATAGCGCCCATATAGAGAAAATGTAAAAGGACTTTAAATATAAGCCTAGTAGTTTATGTATTCTATTAATTAAAATTTTATCTTTAATTTTACTAAATCACTTGATCTCACCTCAAAGATTATGTTACATTAAAGTTTTAGGTAAGGAAGAATGTATAACGGTAAGCGGTAAATTAGTAATTAAAGGTATACCTGATATAATACAACATACAACTAACGATTTTCTTGTTATCGCTATATGACAACACCGCAGAATGTTGAGTCAAATACCGATACATGGACTAATTTCTTTTGTTTAATAGACGCCATGCTAAATAGGAGCGAACCATGTCCTCTTACGTTTATTCCAATTAGAGATCAGAATTGATGAGTTTCAAGTATTGTTTAATCGGTTAATCACAACTTTAAATTTTCGAGCATTGGTGAATATTCAATTAAACCATTAAAAATAAATTATATCATATATAAAAAATTTAATGTGATAATTTCAATCTATAATTCCCAATACATAAATTTCTAGACTAATATCTTAATTTAAATTTTCAATCCACATTTTAAACAATATAAAAGCATTTTTTGGTTGATCATGTGGTACAAAATGCGAAGACGCTAAAAATTTAGCATACCATAAATTTTTAACCTTTCTAATCTCGCCAACTTTTACTCCATCCACTTTCCAATCTTGGAATTTAGTATTAATAAATTCTTGTTGACATTTCCATTTTAATGATTCAATCATTTCATTACTACCAATCCTTTTAAGAAATAATTATTTAAAAAATTTTCTTAATAATAAGAATAAAATAAAATAAATAAAATAAGTTGTTTTAATGTTATATTACCAGTTACAAATAAAATCAGCATCTCCAACAAAAAATATCATTGGTATATCATTATCAAGTAGAAATTCTACTTGAGACATAGTAGAATGCATTCTAATTAAATATTATGATTAAAAGTCAACAACACCTTAAACTTTAATAAGACATAACAATTATTTTTAAATAATACGTACACATCACCGGAAGCAGTAAATCTATTATATATTTCATTACTAACTTCCACATAGTTTGTTTTTATTTCATTTGTATTAACACCAATTGATCTCCTAACCGAAGGATCATCCAAGAAATTTGTGTAATCTGCAAATGGTGTTCCCTTACCATTTGGAGCACGAATATCATATTCATCAACTCCAGAGCTTTGATTAAAAACTTGAACATAAACATCCCAACAAGTATAATTGGCAATAGCGCAGTCATATGTTGTATTTGTTCGGTAACATTCTATAACTGTTTTTAATTAAAATATAAGTTTA